ACAAATTTTTTCTTCAAAAATATGTTTTTATTGATTTCAGAGAAAGGAAGGGAGAAGGAGAAATAGAAACATCAATGATGAGAGAGAATCATCAATAAGCTGTGTCCTGCATGCCCCCTTACTGGGGATCGAGCCCACAACCCGAGCATGTGTCCTGACCAGGAATTGAACCGTGACCCCCTGGTTCATAAGTTCGGTGCTCAACCACTGAGCCACACCAGCCAGGTTCAAATTGTATACTTTTAAACATATAGTTTGTTGTATGTCAATTATACCTCAATAAAGCCATTTTATTTTTAATTAAATTTATTGGGGTTACATTGGCTAATCAAAGGAACAACTGGAGAAAAGGGAGGACATCTGTAATACTATTAACAATAAAGATAACTATTAAAAGGAGAAAAAATTATATAGGCTAAACAATTCTATGATATATCATCCTGATGTTGCATTATGTGCCCACCACCCAATGAAGCCATTTTTAAAAATATGAAATAAAGACATGAAAAGTTGAAAGAATTCATCACCAGCAAGCCTCCACTATAAGAAATGTTAAAGGAAGCAGGAGGAAAATAAGAGTTACAGAGAGATCTGCTCAAGGGTACTTAGATGCTTTTTCTTATTGATACTGATTTCATTTTTTAATTACCAGGTTTGAAGCCAAATACTGCTATCAAAGTAATTGAAATAAGAATTACTAGACATTCAGTCAAAAAGTTTTCCTAACTGACATGATTGCCAAAGTTAGTGTATAGCGTGGGTGATAAAGAAAAAGTCTGAAGAACGATTTGCTATTTTAGTTCTCAGCACACCAGCTAAAATTACACCAGACTAAAGATGCTTGGAAAACATCACATAAAAGAAGTATGTTCCTTATTATCTTAAGTTTGGTTATGTTACACCTTGGCACTCAATTTTCTCCCCTAATAACACATGAGTTTTATAATACAAGCCAGGAAGAAGTTTAAGCTCTCAGAATTCAGAAAAACTCCCAACTTTTATGCCAAAGAATGCTTATATTCGTTTTAAATTTCCTTAATTCTAACTTATCTAAACCAATAGGACACGAATTTAAACAGCTATATCCAAATAATATTCTCTCCCACTCTCTCTGCAAATCATTTTCTTTCTTTCTTTTTTAACAGAGAGGAAGGGAGAGAGATAGAGAGTTAGAAACATCGATGAGAGAGAAACATTGACCAGCTGCCTCCTGCACACCCCCACCAGGGACGTGCCCGCATCCAAAGTACATGCCCCTGACCAGAATCGAACCCGGGACCTTTCAGTCCGCATTCCGACGCTCCACCACTGAGCCAAACCGGTTTCGGCTCTGCAAATCATTTTCAATTTTTTCCCTCACATAGTCTTTTACTGGGTATAAAAAAAAAAAAAAAAAAAGGAAAAAAAAAAGCATTCACATATGCTATTGGTGAAAGTATTAACAAAGGTACAATATTTTTGGTAGTCAGTTTAGTACCATCTATTGTCAAGGATTCATTCCATTTCAGGGAATTTACCCTGGAGATAATATAGTACAGGTGTCCCCCCAAAATTTATGCACACACATATTCTTTGCACCATATTTTTTTATAATGAATTTACAAACAATCCAAATACCCAACAAAAGGGAATTAGTTAAATAAATTAGGGTACAACCATGTTATAATACCACACAACACTTTAAGAGGAACAAGATAAATCTCCATGCACTGATATGAAAAAATAGCCACAAGATGTTAAGTGAAAAAGCACATTAAGTTATAGCTTGTACAATATCAATCAGTTTTTTTGTAAAAAAGAAGAAAAAAAACTATTACCATGTCCCTTTTAGTTGTATATTCACAGAAAAGTACATCATCAATTTGTTTAAAGCAACTACTTCTGGGGATCAGAGGATGCCCAGAGATACTTTTTCCTTCACACAAATCATGTTTTTATATGTTTTTATTGATTTTAGAGAGGGAAGAAGGGAGAAATATCAACATCCTGCATGCTACTGCTGGGGATCAAGCTCACAGGTGCCCTGACCCAGAACCTATGACTCCATATCCTTAATAAAAACTTCAATAAGAAACAAAATGTCCAGCCCTAACCAGTTTGGCTCAGTGGATAGAGCGTCAACTTGCAGACTGAAGGGTCCCAGGTTCGATTCCAGTCAAGGGCACGTACCTTGGTTGTGGGCATATCCCCAGTGGGGGGCGTGCAGGAGGCAGCTGATTGATGTTTCTCTCTCATCAATGATTCTAACTCTCTATCCTTCTCCCTTCCTCTCTGAAATAAATAAAAATATATCTAAAAAGAAAAGAAAAAAAGAAACAAAATGTCCAAAGGTTATTTTCTAGTAAAAGAGAAAGAACAGAAAGAAACATAGTGAAATTTAAACCAGGTAATCAAACCCTGAAGAAATTAGAAGGTTAGAAAACACTATTAGGTTGTAAGTATAAAAAGTGCATCCTTAAGGAAAAATGGCCACAGTTAAAAAAGAAATATGAATTAAAAAGTCACATTTATCATTCTCTGCTCCACCTCTCTCACAGTATGAGAAATGGAGGTATGATTATTACAAAATTTTACTATTCATTCTAAAGTCTTTAGTTCCATTAAACAAACCAGTTTTTCCACATGTACATCAAACAAATCAGTAAAACTGGTTTTGAACACAAAGAAAAAGAGTGGTTGCCATAAATCTGTTTAAAGGAATGAAGTAAGCGTATGATCTTTATTTACTCTAACATAAAACCCCACAATTAAAAGTTTAGCTTCTAGAACAGTTGTTCCTCATAAAGCAGAGAAGTAAAATTATAGTAGTTCTGTCTTCCACACATCCTAGAGAAAACATTTTCTCCAGATAAGCATGTCCTAAATGCCTATGTGGCTAAAAACAAAGGTGACAAAATTACAACTGAAAAATAATTGCAAGGAACTAAAATATAATTACTACTGGCTTTGTATGCCTACAATCAAGAAAAGATTGGTATCAGAAATTATTAATAACCAGGGCAAGAAAGTAATCAACAAACCTTAATGGAAAATTTAACTTTTTTATTTGAATGAGGCAAAGGCTACAGTTTTCTTGTTTTTCTCCAGAACATTAGGACACCTAATAGCTATTTAGAGAGAAAAACTATGAATCCTAGCTAATAAAATGGTAATATGCAAATTAACCATCACTCCGTCACAAATATGGCAGCACCCACAGTGGCAAGGGCGCTGGATGCTGGCGGCAGCACCCTGGCAACGGGCCCCAGCATCCCCGTGTGCCCTGGCCCACAGAGGGAGGGTGGGCAGGCCTCTGGCCAGAGGCCGGCCAGGGCATGGGACGCTGACCTCGTTGAAGGCTGGGCTGAGGAACCCCACCTCCTTTTCCCCCTACTATACAACTGGATCTCTAGTTGTATTATAAAAGGAAAAAACTATTTCATCAGATAATTAATTGAATTTACTATGTGAATCTGTTACCTAAAATATGCTGCTGTTAAGAAAAATACAGAACACACCGCAACTCCTAATGCTTAAATCTCCATAATAAAACTACACTATGGAAAGGCTTGATATTAACCTTTCATACAAGTCACAATTTATGTGTATACTATTTCTGAGTACTGCCCTAGGTACTAGAATTCCACAGTAAAAGATGATCTCTGCTCTCCATACAAATAAGATGCAAAGTGAATAGGGCTAAAAGGTTTCTTGGAGGACATGACCTGTGAGTTAAGACCTGAATGACAAGAAAGAAAAAGCCATGTGACCATCTGGGAACAGCATTCTCCAAGCAAATATAATATAAAATATAAGGGTACTATAAGATATTTTGAATTGTCTCTAAATGAATTGTCTCTGAATCAGTTTTTTAAAATGTTTGCTGATTTCAGAGAGGAAGGGAGAGGCAGAGAAAGATAGAAACATCAATGATGAAAGAGAATCATTGATCAGCTGCCTCCTGCACACCCCCAACTAGGGTTCAAGCCCGCAACTCGGGCATGTGCCCTTGACTGTGAATCAAACCCATGACTTCCTGGTTCCTAGGCTGAGCCATACCAGCCAGGAAAGATCTTTTGACTACACTTCAATGACATTCCATCATGCAAAATAAAGTCAAATGTGGCTTACAAAGCCTTCAGGAATTCATGCAACTCACCTGTAGATCCTATTAAAATATTCTGATTCAGTGTTCTGTAATGGGACCAGAGATTCCCTTTTTAGTAAGTTCTACAGACCACACTTTGAATAGCAAGGATCTAGCTCAAGTTCATACCTCATACCACTCCCACACAGTGAATTAATGCTCTTCCCCAAACACCATGTTCTTACCTCTGTGCCTTTTTATATCTTCACTGAATATGGTTTTTCCCTTACCTCCTCCACTTCAAAAACTTTTACTCTTTGTTACAGTTTAGTTCAAACATCACAGAGCCTTCAGGCATATGTTGATGCTGTTTCCTTTGTGTTCCAAGGCCCCTATGCATTCATGTTTAACTCACCACACTTCACATGTCTGTCTCCCCCTGAGACTGTGAGTGTGGGGATATAAAAATGCTATCCTAGACACACAGATATTCAATAAATGCTTTTTGAGTACAAGTCACTAAGGTATGGCATTTCTGCCAGTCTTTGAAATAATATTTGTCACAATCACTTTTATTCCATAACATTTTTTAGAATAATATACAGTAAAAAATACTGTCAAATTATTAAAAGTCACTTACAATATAAGACAACACAAATTCAAAATTAAAATTTTTTTTGATGAGATATTTATTTCATTGCTGGGAAAAAGTCACACTAATTTCACTATTTTAGGGTAAAAAGGGCAAAACAAAGATGGTACTCTTTGGTAAACTTTCCATTTAAATATCTACAGAAAAATAAGAATGGCATCAATTTGTAGTATATCTTCCCCCCTTAAATTAATAAGGACTTTCATTATGTTTTAAAAATAAATGACAAGAATAGTATCTAAATCAGATGCTTACATTTGCAATCCTCTCTTTACCACTCACCTTCCTCATCGATCCACTTCATGGTAAAAAGCTGTTCATTGTCAAAAGAACACATGTCTCGAACCTCATTGCAAAGGCCCTCGAAGGAGATGGAAGGTTCAAAGTGTGTTATCATGATATCCCTGAAAAAGAAAGGGAGTTTCAAATTAGACAAGGATTAAAATGAATAATGCTCTAAATGCCTGACGATTTGATGGACTTCAGCTGTTTTGTATGTGCAGCAACATGTGTTGCTTTCAGTAAACTATCTGTGCAAAGTAAAAATTAAATTTGTAAGAAACCAAAGTACAAATTAAATTGGTAAGATACTCAAAATTTGTAAGAATAAATATATGTGTAAGCAATAATATATAAGTCCACTTAGCAGCCATTCATTATAAAACTTAAAAAGTAGTGGATAAAAAAGAGCTGTGGTACTCAGTGGACCTATGAAACAGGAGGTCACGGTTCAATTCCTGGTCAGGGCACATGCCCATGATGCAGGCTTGACCCCTCTGGGGATCGTGCAGGAGGCAGCTGATCAGTGATTCCCTGTTATCATTGATGTTTCTCTCTTTCTCTCTCCCCTTCCCTTCCTCTCTAAAATCAATAAAAATTCATTAAAAAATAAAATAAAAAGCTATGATACATTTACACAATGGAATACTACTCCGCATAAAAAGGAAGAAAATTTACCCTTTGCAACACCATGGACGAGCCTGGAGAACATTGTGCTAAGTGAAAAAGTCAGTCAGAGAAAAATGAGGGCCATATAATTTCGCTCATGCATGGAATTTAATCAGTAAACTGAACTATCAAGCAAACTAGAGACATGCTCATAGATCGAGAGCAGGCAGGCAACTTGGGGAGGTGAGCTTAAAGGTAGGGGAGAGATTGAGCAAAAAAGAAAAAAGAGAGAGAGAACTCATGGACGCGGACAACAGTGTGGTGACTGAGGAGAGGAGGGGTGGGTGGAGGTGGAAGAGGGCATAGAGGAAATAAATGGTGATGGAAAAACTAAAATCAATAAAATAAAATAAAAAGGTGTTTTAAGCAGAAGCCTGGGGCTTCTTCCAAGGAGCCATGAGAAGCCTACGATTTAATCATACAGTAGTCAGCTAATCATCCTTCCAAAGGTAAGTTAAAAAGACAGAATGACTCTAAGGGAACACTTATATAACCAGCTCTATGTGTCACACTCTGTTCTAAGCGTTTACAAAGTTAATATAGTTCATGTGCTTCCTGTTTTAAACTCTTCAAATGCCTTTTGTCTCTTATGCAGAGTAAAATCCAAAGTCCTCACTTCTACAAAGCCCTCTGTGAACTGGCCCTGGCTACCTCTTCTACCACCAGACAGATAAACCAATGTTTGTAGTCCACCACCTACCTACCCCAGCTACAATGTAAGCTCATTATATTCCTAGTGACCAACATAATGCCTAACACAGAATGGCTATCTGGTAAATATTTTTGAAGAGATGAAGGAAATGACAGTGTTAAAAACTGTGAATAAACCCGAGTATTTGGAGCATAGAGTAGGAAATTAAAAATGCCAGTCATCTGCCAAAAAGAAAGTTAAAACTGCAGTCTTAGGGCTAATAAAGGTAAGCAGAGAGCCAAGCATGGAAATTGAATTGCCTTATAATAATCATTCTCTTCCTAAGTATCTCATGGTTTTCTGCCCCTTCTTCTAAGAACCCTCTTGCCTTGGCTTTCTTAACAGTATGCTACCTTGGCTCTCTTTCTACTATATTCTGAACATTTTTGTCTTCAATCACAAGATATTCTTTACACCTGCTCTATTATTCCTTCATTCATTCCCCTTCCCTCAAACCTACTTCATATTCAATGTTTTGTTTTGTTTTGTTTTAAAATATATTTTATTGATTTTTTTACAGAGAGGAAGGGAGAGAGATAGAGAGCTAGAAACGTCGATGAGAGAGAAACATCGACCAGCTGCCTCCTGCACACCCCCCACCGGGGATGTGCCCGCAACCAATGTACATGCCCCTGACCGGAATCGAACCTGGGACCTTTCAGCCCGCAGACCGACGCTCTACCACTGAGCCAAACCGGTTTCGGCCATATTCAATGTTTTAACCACTATCTCTAGGGGCCTCCTAAATCTGTAATTCCAACTCTGTGTAGCATTTAAGACTCTTGATAATCTGGTTCTAATTTATATTCTCAACTTGATCCCATTTCCAACACAAATTACTACAAATATTTGGTTTAACTCACAATCTTCAAACATAAGACCTTGATGATCAATCTTTAATCCTGACATTTCCTCAGTTTATGGAGGGAGGTGGGGATTAATCTTAACAGGTACTTCAACACCAACTTCCACTAAACCTTTTTCAACCAAACCAGTCCAATAGTCTATACTTCTAAACCTGCCAACACGTATTTTATATTCCACCTTTTGTTATTTAACTCATCATATACTGATAACACATCCTCAACTAAATTGTAAACAACTGGAAGACAAAGATTTTGGATTTTTAAATATATTCACATAACCAGTGACATAATTAGGACTCGAATATTTCTTAACTATAGAAGAAATACTTTCTAGGAGAAATCCATCTTTCAGAAAATGTACTTATGACAAGGGAATATCACTCTGCTTCTTTTGCTTATAAACATGTATAGAATACTGAGTATGTTCCAGGCATTTAAACAAACTTTATCTTACATAATCTTCAAAACAACCATCAAACTAGACATACTAATCCTATTTTACCAATGTAAAAAGTAAAACACTTTCAACTCTAGAATATCTGCCAATGTCTCACAGGTAGAAAATAGAATATGAATTAAAATCCAAATCTTCTAATAACCTCATGGTGGATGCTTTAATCTGACCTTCCCCCTCCGCACTTCCCACCTCCAGGTTCACCCATTAGCAACGATGCATTTATTATACCAGCTGCTGGAACTATTACCAGCAGACAATCCCCAACTGTCAGCCTCCTTCAGAGATTTCACTCTTTGCATATGATCACACCCCCTTCTTAGAAACAGCCCACAACCAATGACTAATTCGAAGTGGGGTATAAAAGGGCCCTAGATGTGACTCAGGAAAGCTCTGAAGTGTGAACTCTTCTTCAGAACTCACTCTCTGGAGAGTTAATTAAGGTTTGTGTTGAGATTTCAGAGCACCTTGAATGTTTCCTACCTAAGCTTGCTCCTTTCCCTTCCCTCTTCCTCCATAGCTACCAATTCCAAGAGTCCTCCTGTATAAATCTCCTTCATGCTAATCTGAGACACAATTTTCCACGCTAGCTATTATCAGAAGATATTGTTTTGACAAAAAATATAATGGATACAGTAATCACACCTTTAAGAGATTGGCTAATGAAAAATGTAATCCTTGTTTTGGAAATTAGTCTACTTAATACCTGAAGGTAATTAATTTTTTGAGTTTTCAGAGAAAATACATTGATGACATATATAAATTATACATATTTTAAGTCTCCTCTAACTAAATGTAAAATCCATGAGAGCAGGAACCCTGTTTTGCTCTATATCACCAGTACCTAAAGCAGTGTCTGGCCAGAATGGATGCTCACTTAATATATATATTAAATGAATGGAGGTGTCACATGGTGTACTCTAAAGAAAGCAAAGGAAATGTAAAAATAAAAAACATTCCAGAAAAGAGGAATGGCACATAAGAGGCAGCTGAAGTATACTGGTTCAGACCATGAGAGCTGAAGCCAGGCTCTGTCACAGCTGTGTATCCTTATGTGAGTTCCTTATCTTCTCTGTGGCTCAACTTCATCATTTCTAAAATAGGTGTAATAATATCTCATATGGTATTATAAATATAAAGATTTAATGGATTAAGTGAATTCATCTTTATAATTCTTAGAATAGTGCATATAGCATACTCTATATGTATTTAATAAATTTTTAAAAATAGCCTGGCTGGTGTGGTTCAGGGGTTGAGCATCGACCTATGAACCAGGAGGTCATGGTTTGATTCCCGGTCAGGGCACACACCCGATTGTGGGCTTGGTAAAAAAAATATAATAATAATAATAATAATAATAATAATAATTTAAATAGAAGTGAAATCTCATTAGAGAGATTAAAAATAGCCCAACCTTCTAAAAGCAAAACTCAGATGCTTCTGGTTTAATATGGTACAGGGAACCCACATCTATATCTTTTCATCCTAAGGGCCCACTGAAATGACAAATTATCAAAGGCTTTGCAAACAAACAAACAAACAAAAAAAGGGCACAAACAGCATACCGGGAATTATGAGGAAGTCCTAGAGTATTGAAAACAGATGGGATTAAATTGACCCCAGAAACCATACCTGCCCCAAACAACAAGAATTATGAGAAACTTTAAAAAAAGAGAAGTTTTATTGACACAAGATTACTTTTCCCTCCTCTAAGCATCTAATCATATCACCTGGAATCTTCAAGTGCATAACACTTTTACATAAGCATTCATTATAAATTCTTTTCTAACTCACTTTAAAGAAAAAACTAAGAGTTAAAGAGTAGAATGATGTTATAAACCTTTACAATGTAAAAATTACTAAGAAAAATCATGATATGGGAAAAAAAATGGAAGTATAAATTAAAAAATGTTCCTTTCCTAGTTCTTAAATTAGTAATACAAAAATGGGCAAAGTACTTGAACATATATTTCTTCAAGGAGGATATACAAATGACCAACAAATTTATGAAAACATGTTCAATATCACTACTCATTGGGGAAATGCAGATCGAAACCAAATGAAGTATCACTGTACACCCATTAGGGTACTGACTATTTAAAAAACACACAGAACAACAAGTGTTGACAAGGATGTGGAGAAAAATTGTTGCATTGTTGGTGGAAATGTAAAAAGGAAATTTCCGTAGAATCCAGTAAGTCCACTTCTTGGTATCCAAAAGAACTGAAAACAGATTCTCCACCAGATATTTGGATGCCCATGTTCATGGCAGCATTATTCACAATAGCCAAAAGGTGGAAGCAACCCAATGTCCATCAACAGAGGAATAAAACTGTGTGTGTGTGTGTGTGTGTGTGTGTGTGTGTGTGTGTGTGTGTGTATGTATGTATATGTACTAAAGGACTATTCCGTTTTGAAAAGTAAGGAAATCCTGACACATGCTAC